CGGAGACGGGGTCGGATGCGCTGCGCGTTGCCCCGGGAGAGTGTAGGCTACAGGCCAGACTCCTGTCCTCTGTCAGGACTCAGTCACTTTGTCTGTCAGGGACCCAGGAGTCCAGGGCCCCCGGGCCCCCTCCGGACCACGAGCCTCCCCCGTGTCCGGGTCCCCTAGAGCCCAGGAGTCCAGGCACCTCTTCCCTCCTTTCTCCTCTAGGGCCCACCAGCTCTGAGCAGATCATGAAGACAGGGGCCCTTTTGCTTCAGGGGTGAGTTTGAGGTCTGATTGTTGTGGAGCAGATTTGAGGAGTGACACCCCATTCTGATTTGCACCCCGCTCCGTCCCCACTCTAGTTTCATCCAGGACCGTGCTGGGCGGATGGGTGGGGAGACGCCTGAGCTGGCCCTGGAACAGGCACCCCAGGACGCCTCCACCAAGAAGCTGAGCGAGTGTCTCAAGCGCATCGGGGACGAGCTCGACAGTAACATGGAATTGCAGAGGTGTGGCCCCTGGAACCCAGAGTCCAGCCACCACCCCAGTCCCCCACCCCCCAGCAACTGGGTGTCCAGGCCCCAGCTCTCAACTCAAGCTTGCTGGACTCCCTCGACCCCTTGCCCAGGATCTTAAATCTCCTCCAAGGAGTTTTTAAGATCATTTTCCCCACTTGTCTTAAATGTCCTCTTGTCCCCTCCCCCCCACACCTTGGCCTCCTGTTTTCCATTTCAGCCTGGCGTGGGCCTCGGTCTCCCTTCTGTAGTATGGGCCGGACGCTGGACCGTCCACTCCACCTGCTCCTCCGTCCCCAGCACCCGTTCTCTTTCCTGCAGGATGATTGCCGCTGTGGACACGGACTCTCCCCGGGAGGTCTTTTTCCGAGTGGCAGCTGAGATGTTTTCTGACGGCAACTTCAACTGGGGCCGAGTTGTCGCACTTTTCTACTTTGCCAGCAAACTGGTGCTCAAGGTGGGCAGCGAGCCCAGGGGTGGCCGTCTCAGACCCGTGGGGACCTGGGGATTCTGGGATCAATCCTTGCAGCAGCCTAGTGACCCCAGAGGGAGTGGAGAGAGATGTCTGTGGACTGGGTGTCTGTGCCATCATCCATTCATTCGACAAACGTTATCGGCCTGCTGTGTGCCTATGTGCAAGGCCGCTACGTAGCACCAGGACGCAGCCTTAAACAAAGCAGGCTAGGTCCCTGCTCTCGGCGCACTCGTGTCGTGTAAGCGCTGAGGTGAAATAGAACAGGCCAGAGTGATTAAGCCAGAGGTCTGTAAAGACTCCTGAGAGCAGGAAACATTAAAGCCGGTGTTGGAACGACGAGGAGCGTGCAGTGATAGTGGTCAGAGGGAACGGCAACTGCAAAGGCCCTGAGGTCAGGCCTGGCCTGTGTGGAGGGGAGCAGGAAGGCCAGTGTGGGTGGGTCAGAGCCAGGGGAGAGGGAGGGAACTGCAGGCAGGTGGGCGGCAGGCCTTGTGGGGTCTGGACCGCTGTAAAGACTAGCTCTACTCTGAATAAGGCAGGAGTGATGTGCAGGATTTTAATGAGAGAGGTGACCTGGCTTGTCCATTGAAGAAGTGAATCTAGCAACTAGACAGCCCCTGACTTAATGATGGTTCAGCTTTGCAGTGGCGGGAAGGCAGTGCGGATGTAGACACTATTCTTGGAACTGTGGGTACCAGTATGCCGTGGGATGGCTTCTAGCGATGTGGGGCCCTGCGCTAGTTCCGGGTCAGCAGGCGACCTCACACGGGAACAGCGCTAGCTCCGGGTCAGCAGTTGACCTCGCAGGAGCAGCGCTAGCTCTTGGTCAGCAGGCGACCTCACACGGGAACAGCGCTAGCTCCGGGTCAGCAGGCGACCTCACATGGGAACAGCACTAGCTCTGGGTCAGCAGGCGACCTCGCAGGAGCAGTGCTGGCTCCGGGTCATGACCGCTATTCTAGTGTACATCTTGCTGGGTGCTGGGCCTGCTTGTAGGTCACTGAGAGTGTTCTGAGCACGTTTGAGGTTGGGTAGGCTACACTCCAGTTCTGGAGGTTAGGTGTGTCCAGTGCACTCTTGACCTACAAATTGAGACAAATTGTGGGTTTGTCAGGATGGAGCCCTACCCGAGGTCACATGTAGGGCGGATTGTTAGCCTAGGCTGCTGCCCCGTGGCTGTTCTGTGTGACTGTCAAGTCCTACAGCTCTTCTCTGTGAGGATTCTAATACTGGCGGCAAGAGAGCACCAGGTGATCGTGGCACTGGGGGGGTGACAGAGGGGTTATGGGATGCAGGGGCAGAGCGGGGAGATGCGTGAGGTGATGCTGCCTGTCACGGTCGTGGCCAAGGATGAGTAGCCTCGACACCAGATGTGGTAGTGGAGGTGGGGAATGTGAGTTTTGTTTTTTAAGATTTTTATGTTTTATTTTATTCGTTAGTATTTTTTGGTTTGACCAGAGAGAAACAGACAGAGAAAGGGAAAGTGAAAGCAGGCTGCCCGGACTAGGACTCAGACCAGGGTGGGGCTAGTGGGAGTCCAGCAGCTCAACCACTGCGCCACCTGCTGGTCCCTGAAACGTGTTTCTTTCTTTCTTTTTTTGGAGAGGTTTTTTTTGCTCTAGGGTGCATGCGATCGCCAGACAGAGACAGACAGAAAGCGAGAAATCACCCCCCAGGGGGGATGGCCACACTGCAATCCCTTCTCCTTCGTTCTCCTCTCGGGATCTTGGGCATGCACACACACACACCCGGCGTGAGTTTTAAGCCACTGGATCCGGGACGCAAACCTCGGTCGACTACATGGGAGTCCAGTGACATAGCCATTGCTAACTGCTGGTCCCTGAAATGTGTTTCTTGATTTTTTTTTTTTTAAGAGAGATTTTTACCATAGGTGCTCATCTGAGAGAGACAGAGGTGATGAGAGAATGTACGAAATGGGCCAGCAGATGGCGTGATGGTTAAGGGTGCTGGACTCCCACATGGTCGACTGTGTTTCGAGTCCCGGACCTGGCGGCGTGCTTTCTCACTTTCCCTCCCACTCTCCTTTGTCTCTCTAATCAAATTTAAATAAAGAAATATAACTAAATAAAATAATTTTTTAAAAAAGAAATTACCCCCAAGGGGAATGCCATAGCACAGTCCCTTCTCCTCCTGTGGCATTGGGCATGCACGAACATGCGCCTGCATGAGTTTCAAGCTGCTGGCTCCCACACTCCAACCGCAGTTGGCCATGTGGGAGTCCAGCAATGTACCCACTATACCGTCTGCTGGCCCCTGTTGATGTTTTCGAGGTAGAGTGCTGGGGCTTTAGTTGGGCGAGCAGGGGAGGACTTCAAGAAGTCCCTGGAACTATGGAATCAAAGGGCTGGCCCTATGGCTTCGTGGTTAAAGCAGTAGAATCTCACATGGACGAACATGGTTTGAATCCCAGCCTCATCGGCTTAAAAAACATGTTGGACATGAGTGTAAAATTTTGACAAGATGGAAAAACAGAGGAGAAGGGATTACAGCATGACCACACCCCACTGGGGGTGCTTTCTCAATCTTCCTCTCTCAGGTTCTGGCAAGTGCATATGCCCTCTGGCAAATAAAAGTTAAAAGTGGGATTAAAGTATGAATTGATTTTTTAAAATTTTTATTAGTAGTAGTAGTATTCAGTATTACTAGAAAGAGGGAGAGTGAAAGTGAGAAAGCAAGCCGCCAGGTCTAGGATTTCAACCGTGGTCAGCCATATGGGACTCTAGTGCCCTTAACCACCATGCCACCTGCCACCCCCAAGTATGAATTAATTTTGAAGTCCACGCATTTTTAAGAGTTTTTTGCCTTGGGGCCAGCAGGTAGCGTGGTTACTTTGCTGGACTCCCACACGGCCAGCTGCGATTTGAGTCCTGGACCTGGAGGCTTGAAACTCATTTTGGGTGCATGTGGATGCAGGCCCAAGATCTCAGCAGGAGAATGGAGGAGAAGGGATGGCAGTGTGGCCATGAGCCTTGGGAGCCTTTCTGCCTCTCTCTCTGGTGAGCATGTGCAGCCTATAGCAAAAATCTCTTAAGGGGAGCAGGTACCAGCAGGTGGTGTGGTAGTTACGGGTGTCAGACTCCCACATGGTTGACCATGGTTAGAGTCCTGGACCTGGCAGCTTACATTCTCACTTTCTCTCTTTCTCTCTGTCTCACTCTGGTCACATAGAACAATAATAATAATACAGTTAAATAAAAAGAAATCTACAAAAGAAAAAGTTTTGTGCTTTAGGGCACATGTGCTTGCCAGAGAAAGACAGTGAGAGGAAAAGTGAGAAATCCCCGCCTCCCCAGGGGGAATGGCCACACCGCAACACCTTCTCATTCATTCTCCTGGGATCTTGGGCATGCGTGCACATGTGCCAGCATGGTTGTCAAGCAGCTGGGCCCAGGATTTGAACCATAGTGGACCATGTGGGAATCTAGCACATAATCCACTCTGCTATTTGCTAGCCCCCATGCATAGTCTTTTAATATCGCAGCTTCCACGAGCTTTTTGAAGATCCTTGTGTTGGAGGGGTGGGAGCCAGGGTTCAGGGTGACAGTGGGCTGCATAGGGAGCTGGGGACAGAAGGGCAAAGTGGCCGGTAAAGGCCGGACGGGCAAGTTCTGGGATTGGGAGAGTCAGTTACCCGGATGAGCAGGGAAGGTCTGACTAAAGGGAGCTAGAGAAGCTCCCCCTGGTGAACTGTTCACCCTGAGCTCAGAGAGGTGAGTTCTAGTTCACTTGGCTGGTTGAGGCCCTCCGTCGATGGCCACGCTGCAGTCCCGTCTCCTCTTGGGTCTGGGGCACACGTGCAAATGCAAGCCTCCAGGTCTGAGAGTCGAACCGTGGTCGGCCCTGTGGGAGCCCAGCAGCGTAGCCATCACACCATCTGCCAGCCCCGGTTCAGTGTGTAAAGCTTCCCCGACTGGGTGAGGGATTGCACTGAGAAAGGCTCGGAGGCCGCTGGCTCCGGAAGTGGGGAGGCCCAGTCCCTGACACCCACCCCGCTCCCCGCAGGCCCTGTGCACTAAGGTGCCCGAGCTCATCAGAACCATCATGGGCTGGACGCTGGACTTCCTCCGGGAGCGGCTGCTGGGCTGGATTCAAGACCAGGGTGGTTGGGTGAGAACCAGAGCCCGTCCCTGCCAGCCCCCACCACTGCTCTGGGACCCCTAGGCTTTCAGAGCCCACCCCCATTTTCGGGCCATTAGATATAGTCTATAATGTGTCCCCCTCACGTGTCTGTCCAGTCCACCCCTGGTGCCCCACCTGCCCTGGAGCCCCTCTAGTTCACTGATAACCCCAAGCCCAACCCTTTAGTGCCCATTCATCTGAGGCCCTCACCTCCACTCATGGCCTCACCTCCCCATCCCTTGGGGGCCGGCCCAGGGCCGCCCCTGGCTGTTACTGAAGTGACCATCCCTGTCTGCAGGATGGCCTCCTGTCCTACTTTGGGACCCCCACGTGGCAGACAGTGACCATCTTCGTGGCCGGAGTGCTCACCGCCTCACTCACCATCTGGAAGAAGATGGGCTGAGGCCCGCCGCCTTGGACTGTGTCTTTTCTGCATAAATTATAGCATTTCTCCGGGGGGCTGGGGTTGGGGGACATGGGCATTTTTCTTACTTTTGTAATTATTGGGGGGTGGGATGGGTGGTCGGGGGGGCAATAAACCTCCTTTGGGCCACCATGGAGTCTGAGTCACTGGGCCCATTGCCCTCTACCCACCTGCCCCACACCTGGTCAGCTGCTTGGGGACTGGAAGCTCTGTGTGGGAGGGTAATAAGGTAGTCTTAGCCCTGCCCCGGGGTCTGCAGCCAGAGCGGAGAGGCCTCAGATTTGATGTCACATCTGCCACAGCCTGGGGTGCTGCCTGCCCTGACTGTGGTGGCCCATGGCCAGGCCTGGCCTAGGGTGAGGGACAACAGGAATCTGCTGCCAGGGCACTAGGGTGGGGAAGTGTCAACAAGGGACATACAGGAAGTTGACAGTTTGCTGAGCTGCAGAATGGGGGAGGAGGGGAGGGCTAAATCAGTGGTGGGGCATTTGTTTGTGGGAGTTGGGAGTCCCGGTGGTCCCAGAAGAGTGGTGGGTGTTAGGGAGTCTTACCCAACCACCCTGGTCTTGGATTCCAGGAGCCTGTGGGGAAGAGTCAGGTCTGGCTCAAAAACTGGGTGGGGCGTTGGAGGGGAGCAGTCCTGAGAAAGAACTGATCCCAAAAAGAACAAATTGAGGGGACTGAACCAGGTCACTGACAAGCCACCTCGTGTCCTGTCCATCTCATCCTCCCTGGGCCCCTCTGACTCTTCCCCTTCTGTGGGTCTCTGTCCCCCCTTCTCCAGATCTTTGTTCCCAGCTCAGAATCCCTTCTCCAGATCCTTTGTCTCCAGCCTTCTCCCCCCCCCTGCCCGCCCTTGGAAGTCGCCCCTCCATAGGACCCAGGTCATCTTCCCAGGGCTCCCACCGCTCCAGGATATCTCATCCCCAGAGAGACGCTGCCTGAGGCTAAAGGTCTTCACACTGAGTTGTGAAATTTGGTGAATGAGTAACTCCGGACCCTGTCAACCGAGCACCCCTGACACCTGCCCCTACCGTGGACTCTTCCCCAGAAACACCAAATCTGGGGAGCAGGAGGAGCAGAAGGTCATGAAGGGACCTGAACCACCCAACCACCATGCAAAGAGGGGCCAATACGGCCACAAGCCAAGGCCCAGAGCGCAAAGGGGACAGGCAGCTCACACTGGCTCCAGCAGGGCCGCACCTGGGGAGGTGGGGGGGACACGGCCAGATGCGGGTCCCAGCGACAGAAGAACAGCCCCGGCTGAGGTCAGCGAGCAGCCCTCCACACACACCCTGCCTCCCCCCTCCTTCCCTTGCGAGTCAGCATGACTCAGCACCGAGCTCAATGGCGGTGGGCCAGTGCCCCTGGAGACCCCTGCCTTGCTAGAGGTACCCAGTCTGGGCGGCCTACAGTGGCTTCTCTCCAGAGGGCAGACCCTGACCCCGCCTCGCCCCAGCGCACGGGTCTGCCTCCATTAGGGGACTTAGCTAGGGCCCCCTACCCCACCCTGGAAGCCCATGCTCCTTGAGGGCCAGGGCCTGCTATGGGCCACCTCCATCTCAGATGTCAACCTGGACCTGGCACACCTACGACACGTGCAGCAGTCGAAGACAGACATCCCACCCATAGGGCCCTAGACATCCAGTGTCTCCAGTGCCAAGGGCTTCTCTTTGTGACCGCGAATGAGCACGCACGTGGCAGGCCAGACGGCCAAGCAGATTCCCCAGTCTGAGTTGCCTCCAAAACAGCCCTAAAGACCTCCCCTAGGAAGGTGCAGAAAAATAGGGCCTTCCAGTCCTGGACCTCCCACTCTGGGTAAACCCCAGGGCTCAAGTCCACCTCGCTCCTCACCTCCCCAAAGACCCTCAGGCTTCCAGAAATACCATTTTACATACCACTTTACCAATTTACATTCTCCAGACAACAGGACGTCCTCTCCACATCTCTGAGGTACTGAGCCCCCAGGGTCCCGAAAACGCCCATGCTCTCTGAAACCACACTTTACCGGGACACCCCCAGGACCCCAGTTCATCACTTCCCAGGGATCCCACTGCCCCATGAATATCTCATCCCCAGAGAGACACCAAGAATTTCTCCAGTTCCTAGAATCAGCCCCAGGCTCTCAGCTGCTCTGGATTGGTCAGGCCCGGCCTCCAGGCCCCACCTCCCAGGCCTGCAGATTGGTTGGCCGCTGGCCCTGGACGCCCCGCCTCCGAGGGACCCGCGCGCTATAAAAGGAGCCGCCCAGCCCCGGGCCTGTGTAGTGCGCCAGGAGGTCCCGGGGATCTGTCTCTTGCTTCAACAGTGTTTGGACGGAACAGATCCAGGGACTCTTCTTCCCAGCTTCCGACCACCTTCTAGTCTCTACTCTAGTCGTCATTTCTGAGACCATCTTCTAGGCCATCTCCTGCCTTTTAGGACCAGCCGACACCGTTTTGTGGTTAGCTTCTCATTAGGACCAACCATGAGCTCCCAAATTCGTCAGAACTATTCTACCGAGGTGGAGGCCGCCGTGAACCGCATGGTCAATCTACATCTGCGGGCCTCTTACACCTACCTCTCGCTGGTGAGTGCCCCCGGGACACCCCGACCCAAGTTTTCCCCAACTGCGCACCTCGGGCCCACTGCGCACGCGCCGGCCTTTGTCCTGTGGAGTAGCCCGAGGGCGGAGTCCTCATGCCTGGCCTAGTCTCCCGCTAACCCTGTTTCCTTCCATGTTTTCCCGCAGGGCTTCTATTTCGACCGTGACGATGTGGCTCTGGAGGGCGTGGGCCACTTCTTCCGCGAGTTGGCCGAGGAGAAGCGCGAGGGCGCGGAGCGTCTCTTAAAGATGCAAAACCAGCGCGGCGGCCGCGCTCTTTTCCAAGACGTGCAGGTAATTTGGGGAACGGACTACGCCACCCAGCAGGCTTTGCGCGCCAGTCTCTTCTGCCTAGGGGGCTTAGGTGACGCAAGGGCTTCTGGGAGTTTGAGTTCGTGTAGTGTGGGTTGTTTATTGCGGCTGGAAATGGAGGCGTGTGTATTCGCCCGTATTCCCACCCCAGAACGTGGCTGGCTAGACCGCTGCGTGCCCCCCTGGGCCTCGCAGTCTAGAAGCCTAGGGTGGTCCACACTAGCTTTCCCTCCCGTGTGTGTCTCGACATCTGGGAAATGTAGATTTAGTCCGTGGCAGGTTCTGGTAAGTTCTGAGCTATGTGTGCTTTTCGTATAGAAGCCATCTCAGGATGAGTGGGGTAAAACCCTGGACGCCATGGAAGCTGCCCTGGCCCTGGAGAAGACTCTGAACCAGGCCCTTTTGGATCTTCATGCTCTGGGTTCTACCCACACCGACCCCCATGTAAGCACCACATTAACCCCAGTTACCTATCCTTATGTTCTCAACCTTGACTCCATTCAGTTCTACACATTTCTTTGTGAACCTCAGACTCAAATCTGTGAGTTAGGGGAACCAGCAGTTGGCGTAATGGCTATGTCCCTGGACTCCCACGTAGTCGTCTGCGGTTCGTGTCCCGGACCCGGTGGCTTAAAACTCACGCCGGGCGCGTGTGCGTGCGTGCCCAAGATCCCGAGAGGAGAATGGAGGAGAAGGGATTGCGGGGTGACCATCCCCCCTGGGGGGT